CAAATTTTGATCCCTTGCCAGAATTCAAAAATGTAATCCAAACAAGAAATATCAAGTCATTTTACATTTAACAGAAGAGGTACATGAAATCGGATTGATAAACTGACAACTTACTTAATTTGTTAGGTTATATACTGACAATATAATAAAAACAACAACAACAATTTATTAAGGTATTTCCAATGATTTACATGGCACTAGCTGATAAAATTTTTGGCTTAATGATAAAAGTACAGTGGTAATTTCAGCTGTAATTTTGAATTCCCTGGATATAAAGCTGATAAAGGCAACCAAAACTGGCAAAGCAAGGTAAAATCGGAGGCGAGATCTAGCTAAAGATAATTTTAATAAGTTAAATTGTGGAATAGGGGTATAGCATTGTAAATTCAAGACTTTGCGAGACTGCGAGACCCCCGGTTTCAAAATTCGAGACCGAGACTTTGAGACTTGGAGACCTATCACAAACACTGCCCAGAGACCAGAAGCCGGCGAGACCCGCGTTTTTGGAGGAACCATTCTATACCTTAAAATGACCCCAGGAACGACTGGCTGCTGTCCAGTGTAATGGAAACTATATTTGTTGAAATAATAAATGAAAATCTAAAAATATCAAAGTTGGCACCATATATACCGACCACCAAAAGGAGTGATTGAATTCGAAAGTATCTTACCTGTATCTTATCTTTTATCTTGTAAAACCATTTTGGCTAAATTAGACTAGATCCGCAAAGCAGGTGCCATAAGGTGATTTTACGTAAAGCGGGTAACAGTTGCTATTAGTTACTGTGTGCAATATAGTTTGCGTATTGAACTAAGATCTCAGTTCAGCTAAGACAAGTAGACAAAACTCAAAGTACATGAGTCAACAGACAACATGAGATCAAAGAACAGTTCATAGCCGAAACTTGCTTAACTTATAAAAAAGTGAGAATAACTCATGGGTGACTTTGATATCAGACTTCTAAAACATGATTACTGTATGTAATTTTCATGCTCAGGCTATACGCCACTTATAATAATAACCACAATTTGAGCTACGTTAATTCATAACATCTTTACAAACAATTATATAGAACAGCGCATTTAAACAGATTTTATTTAAAAGATATCCAGCACCAATCAGATTGTACAATTTGAAGAATTTTGCCCGCTGCGCTTGCAACTTAGAAAAAAGTAATAATTGATACTGTTAATCTCTGGAATAGAATATGGCTGAAAATCAAACATCCATCCCCTTATCAAATAAAAGTTCTCAAAAGGAAACGGTTTATCCTATCATACATGTAAAAGCAATCAAAACAGCCGGAAAAAGAACTTAAGTTATCCTTTGATGGAGTTATCAATATTGTAACAACATGTGTGTTTTAGATCATATAACTTAGGGACACGTCCATACGCTTGGCACCCATGTGTACATCAGCCTGTTGCTTGCTTTACGCGTTTTTTCCTCATTTTACCATCGGGGGTTCAGAGCAGTTCAGATCAGTTTGAACACGGTCCCGACCCTCCTCAGCTCTAACCAAGGAGAATTATTTTTTCTCCCTTGATCCAAAATAATCTGCCATTAAAAATTCTAAGTAATGATCGCCAAAAAATTTTAAAGGACACACAGTCAGTTTTCAGGTCACTTACGCTGCATGAAAATAAGGAACGTTTCTCGCGATATAGATACATTGTAAAAACATTACTCACACATTATTGTCTCAAATTTTGTTTTCATTTTGATAATTGGTTACAAATGTAAATCATACTCGTGACCATGCCGGTGATTGACTCCCTCTGCATGTTTCCCGAATTGGACTCCACTCAGTCCGACTGGATCACCATGATCAATCATACTAGTTATAAAATGAAATGAATTGGACAACCACGGAAACTCGCGCGGCGCAGTTGACCGATTTTATTTAATCACCTACTAAGAGTACTTTTTGTCGTCAATAATAAACGGAAAGTATACCCCTGCTCTGCTAGCAGGGAAATATCAGATGGTTACAGCGTGAACTGTGATCTCAAACGTAGGCGAGCTCCCCAGGGTTCCTAAGAACCATATCCAAGTTCGGCAAGCGAAAGACATTTCGTCGCCCTTGTTTACGTCCTCCATAAAACGTGAAATTAGGCATAAATTCATGTCGCAGTCACGTTGCAGTTACCTGGAGAGACGGCAAAGCTAAAGAAATGTGCTAAAAAAAACGTGATACACGTGCAAAGTTTTTGTTTTTGCTAAAAATATTACTTTTTAGTCTCGTTGTAGTCGTCGATGTCTGATCTATGAAACTGAGGTCCTTATAATTTATGAACAGGAGCCGATGGTTGCGTATCGATCGCGGCAGCTGGTGAAATTTGTGGTCACCTGCCACTGGTAGCCGACCGATGATGATAATGATAATGATGACGACGTTATGATGATGTTTGTCAATAACAAAGAACCAATAGATAAAATTGTATCCATAACTAACTATAAACCCTCTACGTTTCGTTTACCAAACTACCAGACTACCAAAATTAAGGTCACACACAGATGTTACTTATAAATCCCACATTAGAATTAAACAGACTCAGGTAGAGGTGAAAACGGGTCACGAGGTGAAAGAGTGTTTCTTTTGATTATGAGATAAGAGTCTTGATTTTCCGCAAAAATATTCCTGCTGACTGCAGCCAGGAGCCCTTAATCAGCCGCATGCTATGAGATGGTTTTACATGCGGTTAATACTTTTACTTATTTAGAGAATTGGCAGCAATGTTAATCAGTTAATGGTTTGCTATGTAAAAAATACGCTTTTTCCTCTTAAAAATGGAAACAGCTATCATGATTGCGAAATTGGTTGTCTTGTTAGCATTTGGGCTTTTTGCTCGGGTGTTAAAGCTGGATGAAAGATTTTAGTCAAAAGTGTCAGTTGACTCAGTGAAATTTGTTGAGCTGTTCAGAGGGCAACACTTGATTCCAAGGGCATTCGGTTTTCTTGGCGACCTTTTTAAGTCGTTCTCATTTTATTTATGAGAATTTTGTTTTTGGTTTTGCATTTTAGCCCGTCTACAATAATACCAAGAAAAGAAATTCTTGGGCCCATCCAGTGACGGGATAGGTCAAGCGTACTAACATCTTATTGACACAGTCACTAACGTGGCACAATAGAAATTGTTTAGCGACGCAAGTGCTGTGTGTGCGCGTTTTTTAAAATGCATTGACAACCTCTTCCTTACTTAAAAAATATATTATTCTCACCGCTAACAATGCACCGTTGAGGGGTAGGTAAGGGTCTTCGTCTCCTTTGTCGACGTGGCTTTTTTAGAATAAAACTGTTTACTTCGCCAACTATCATCACCACCAGAAGGAACAATATCTTGATGCTTTGAAACCGTGGCATTCGTGTTCATAGCTACCGTGAAATTTATGTAAGGAAATCGGAAGATAAGTGACGGCGTATCTGCTCAGTAAACTTCAGTGGTGTACTGGTAGATGAAACCGATTCGACAACTTGCGCGCGAGGGTAGGACTGGAACTAGGCAACCAGGGCTGGGGTGGCGGAAGAAAAGGGAAAAAAAAGTGGCGGCAAAGAGCCTGTGTCCCAGGCTAGTGGTGGTGGTTTGGGAGTAGGGTGGGACCAGGGGAGTGGAATAGCCCGGGGGGCTACTCTCTATGAAGGCTTATACGGGGAGGCTCCGCGCGAAAGAGGTGCATTTTTCAGGCTTCGGGTATATTAAGAGGGTCTCAATTGTAATGTCTAGAAAGAGTATTTTTGGGAACATGAGAACTGGTTTTTCCAGTTTAGAGATTTTTCAGGAGCAAGAACCAGCTGAAATAGTGAGATTTGAAATACCTTGAAACTTTCTTACCGTCAATCTTACTCTGCATTTTTGACGGTTGACACTACACTGTCTCTATTTGATGACGAAACGCTAGAGAAGCATACCATCGAGAACCTTCTAGGAAAGATGAAATATAATACAATCATTATTCCTTTTGTTTGTTATCATTTATATGCTATTTTTACATTTCAAATTTCTTGTATAACACTAATTCAACAGTTTTTGTTTTCCTTAACGTCCACTTTTTTTCTTATTTAAATTTTCACATGTAATCATGATATAGAGGATATTACAAGGTGGCGCGAAGATATGAATTTTATTTTCGAGTGGCAAAACAATATTTTACGAACGAGCGCAGCGAGTGAGATACCTCAGTAAAATATTGTTTTTGCCGCGAGAAAATAAAATTCATATCTCCAAGCCGACATGTAATGTTCTTTTTATTATATAGACAAAAAGACATTGATAAAATAATAGAGGGAAATGACCGAAGTTACGTCATCGATAATCTCACGTGTGAGATTATGGAAAATAAACCACTCGGGTCCCGGATGTAGTTTTTATGAATTTTACGAGTGGTATATTTTCCTGTAAAACACTCGTATCTATATAATAAAGGATCATATTGCACGCTGTTCTTTTTAAATTTTCAAATTGTATCGTCTTAGCTTAATCACTGCATGTAACACCCTGAAGAAGGAAGGCCGTGCCTTCCGAAATATTGGTAAAAAAATATATATATTTCCGACTGTAAAATCAGCCTTGCTTCTTTTGTTTAATTTATTCCCGGGGATTTTATTCAATCGTGGAGGGGGAATTCTGCACTCAAAGGTTTTGATTTTTTTACGCTCTAGTAGTCTAGTAGTATTTGCAGTAATTCCAAAAGTAGATGGGAACTTGCACTAATTTTTTTCCCGGACTTTTTCCCGCTCTTTCTGATTTTCAGTTCATTTTTTTCCAACCGCTGGATTAACGCCATTGATTACCGCCGGCGTCGGTCTTTCTCTCCCCAATCCCCACTCATTTGAGCTTCTCTGGCAATTTGGCGCGAACACCGTTCGGCGTTCAACGATGATGTTGTCGGTTTCTGTTTAAAATCGACAAAAATCCTAATTTGAAGCTCAGTTGTTAGCTGAAGTTAAAGAGCTTTGAAGGTTTACATGGCTTTGTTTTTGGGCTTCGTTCTTCCGCCCAAAAAGAATGAATCTGATACCGAAAGCGGCGATGAATGCGACAGCGATGATGACTTCGAAGATCATGATTTTCAGGACATGCAGAAGATCGCGGAGGAAAAAATGTGTTGTTCTTCGTCGATTAAACTCCGTTATGCCGTGAAAAGGATGCAAGAGCTCTCTCCAGCGAACAGAGTTGCCTCAGCGACAAAGGAATGGCGCGTTCGAGCTCAGTTCGATCCGTCTTTTTCACATCCTTGGTGGAAGGTTGAGATCCAAACAGATGCCAAGAAGTCTTCCAGGGCCATGAAAGTTGCTTCTTCTCGTCCCTCATACAGCTCCAGAACTGACGATGCTGTTGGAGAAGATATTTTGTCCCTCTTCTTGATTGAAGGCTGCGGAGTTGCAGATACATATGCCAAAGAACTGATGGAATTCATCAAAAGAAGTAATTTTAGACTCACGCTGGTTGATCTAGTGGAAAACCTTGAAAAGTTCGCCAACAGCGGGAAAGACAAAGGCAACATGGCGGAGCAGATCATGAAATGCCTACAAAGTTCATGTAAGTTTTATTAAAAATATTATGACCTCAATCGACAAATACAAGGAAATTGGTTTAGGAAAATCTTTTGGGGACAAAATGTTGTCTTTTACTGGCACATGCATGTTCCACCATGAAATCTTAAATATTAAATACATAAGCTTACAATTAAGCCATAGAAAACGTTTTTTGTGTTTGCATAGCGTGATATAAACACGATAGGGGTTGGGAGAATTCAAGACAGTTATGCAAACCCTAGACGAAGTCAAAGAAATCAAATTTCAAATCATGTATGATCAATCTATTATTTGAAGAACTTCTTAACTTATTGTTAAACTTTCAGAAGAGCTTTACACACTATTATTGATTTTAAGTTTATGGCACTTTTTTGCCCGCAAACTATTTTACAAGAAGATAATAACAATGATAAAATAAGAATCATAAAATATGGTTTTGTCACGGCTTAATAAGAGTAGCGCTATTACAAGGACAGACATTAAATGAAACTAAAAGTTTCATATTAAAAATGCTCAAAGTGGCACTATTCGACTGTGGGATCAATTAGAACTGCTACAGTGCAGTGCTTGACGTTCAGAAAAAAATGTTGGGGACAGCTGGCCCCAAAGTCTTCTTTTTGGTTGCCAGAACAAGTTAGTATTCTAGTCGCCAAAAATTATGTTTAAGAACTAATAGAATACAATAAACTTAACATCTTTTACTTAGCCTTAACAGAGAAAGAACGCTTTAGACTTCATTTCGAATGGTTTTTGCTTGAGGCTCGTTTACCTGCTGGTGTTCGGGAAAATGAACCCCCCCTCAAGCATAAATTTCCTCAAACAGATATTCAAGCAATGGAATACACATTTAGGTAAACAAACTTTAGGAATCACAAAAACACTTATTTGGGTTATTAAAGAACAAAATCTGCAAAATTTGTTTTGCGTGTCATGTGTTTGGATGTTCAGAAATGAACATCAGTGAAACTTGAACTATTTCGCGGTTGCCTAGCACGTGATCAAAAGTCTCCAGAAAGACGAAACATTGCTAATGTTTTCGGGCAACGAAGTTGATTTTGCGATAAATCTGTTAGACAAAGAGCATGAGTTCAATGGTACTTCATTAAAAGTCAATAAAATATGGCAGGGCTTTTATTTGGGTCATCACTCTCAACAGAAATTTGCATAAAGTTGTTTACAAGAAGCTCGAGAAATAAGCACCATTCGTTCTCAATTAGCTTAAGCTTTTATCAGACTAATCTGTTATCAAGTCCGCAATCAAGATACATGAACGATATAGAGAAACTGTTTTAAATCGATGTGCTAAAAGTCATTCCCGGAGAAACACAGGACGACCTGTTGTGAATTGTGATTGATTTGCCCGAAAGTTGATAAATTGTTGGAGAAAAATCATTATTTGGGAGTGAATGCGCAGAATCCTTACTAACGCATAAGCTGGAAACATTATCTGGTACAAGACCATACTTGACTTTATACATCAGTACTACGATGTCTTGAAAACGTGTATTATACAACATGAGAAGGTTAGCCCTCTCTAAGAGTTCTTCATACATATCCGAGTGGATCTATATATGGCTCTCAATGCAAGTTCTTGTATTCGTTCCACCTTCCTTTTGTCTGACAACTTACAAAAATGCCATATAAGGTGGCAATGTGTAAGGTGGGGCAAAATAAAAGCTTTAAACAGCAACAGCTTAGCCTTACATGGTATTAAATTTCTTAATCAAGATAGTATCAGTCTTTTTGGCTAGTCTTAATACATAGCTCACTTATATGCTTCTAGAAATCAAGGTCGTCGTCAATGCGGACTCCTAGTAGTTTAATGTCCTCTGATTTGTCGATGGGTAGCTCATCCGCGCTTAGCAGTGCATCACTTGTATCGCCATCCATTTATCTCGGGTTGATATTTAGGAATTGGAACTTCTTTGGGTTAGCTGATAAAAAGTTATTTGAATACCATGTCAGAGCTTGCTTGATCCTTGTTTTCAGTTGCTGTCTAACTATTTCATGATTTGTTCCCTTTACATGCAATTGACGGTCATCCGTGCACATAGTTATGTTTCCATTCTTGGCATGCAATGGTAAATCATTCTGGAACATGGTCCAGAGTAAAGGCCCAAATGATGATTCTTGTGGACATCCATGTTTCATAGGTTTCCAATCGCTTGTAATTTCACCCAGTTTTATCCTGTTTCGTCTGTTTTCAAAAAATGATCACGTCAAATCAAGAGATCCACTTACAAAGCCATAAGCCTCCAACTTCTTTATTTTCAGAGTGTGACTCAAGCAGTCGAAGGCCTTACTCATATCAGTAAATAGAACATAAACGAGTTGTTTTGAGTGGACAGCCTGTTTCCAGTCGTCTATCAGTCCAAGCAAGTTCGTCTCACAGCTATGTGACTTTTTATATGCTCTCATTTTCAATTACAGGGTTTTATTGTAGTGGCATGTTACCTGATGACTTAATAACTGCTCGAATATCTTGTTAACTGCTGCAAGGGAAGTAACAGGGTGATAGTTTTTGCATCTTGTCTGTTCCCCTTCTTAAAGACTGGTGACTGTTGTCCCATTTTCCACGATGCCGGCCATTCGCTCTTCTCTATACAATGATTATAAAGGTTGGTTAGTGATATTGCGGTTTCCTTAGCCACATTCTTAAGAAGCTTTGGTGAGATCGCAGAATCCCAACCAAAGGTTGGTTAGTTATATTGCCATTCTCTTAGCCACGTTCTTAAGAAGCTTTGGTAAGAAACATTGAAAATGTTGAAACAGGCTGTCCATTCAAACATTGTTGGCACTGATAAAACAACTGAATGCATGAAGGATTTCACACATTTTCCACACGACTCCGCCAGCGGCCAGATCACCCTAAATTATACTAACCCCATAGAAGTGAAGGAAATCATTTGTAACATGAAAACAAATAAAGCCATTGGCCATGATCTTATTCCCGCGAGGGCAGTGAAAGATTCTGCTGAAGTGTTGTGTGAGCCGTACTGCACTCTCTTTAATTATATTCTGGACGTTGGAAAAATCCCTAAACAGTGGAAAAAGGGCGAAATAACTCCAGTGTATAAGAAAGACTGCAGCCTGTCCAAGGATAATTACAGACCTCTCACCATTCTTCCATCTTTGTCAAAAGTCTTTGAAACGCTCGTTCATTCAAGAGTCAGTCCCCGGTTCAGAAATATGCTCCACAAGTTCGTGTTCGCTTATAGAAAGCATCACGGTTGTGATACTGCCCTGCTCAGTCTTACGGAGGAATGGCGAAAGGAGTTGGACGATCGGAAAATAATTGGCCTTGTGTCTATGGACTTGTCGAAGGCCTTCGACTCTCTACCACACGATCTCATTGTGAAGAAGTTCAAAGAATATGGTGCTGACGAGAGAACTGCTAATATCATTGAGGATTATTTCTCTGATCGCCAACAACGAGTGAAAGTAGCTGGAGAATATTTGAGCTGGAATTATATTTCCGGAGGGATTGCCCAAGGATCAATCCTCGGACCTTTGATATTTAATATTTTCATCAACAATCTCCTGTTCATCCTGAAAAGATGTAAACTCCCTAGCTACGCAGACGACACGCAAATTTTCTTTGCTCATAATGACTATAGAGAAGTTGAGAGTGCCATAAACTCTGATCTGGAGCTTGTTGATAAATGGTATGATGAGAACGGTCTGAAAAGGAACAATTCTAAGTATCAAGCTATTGTGATGGGAAAATCTGACGCCACACTTGATTTCAAGTGTGAAAATTCCAGTATCCCAGTGACTAAAGAATTTGAGATGCTTGGCATAACGATAGATAACACACTGAAGTTTGACAATCCTGTTGCTAAAATATGTAGGAAAGTTTCACAGCAAATAGCTGTTCTTAAAAGAATGAAGAAAATGCTTCCCTTCAAAACAAGGCGCTACCTATATTTAGCATTTATCCTTCCTCACTTCAAGTATTGCAGTGAAACCTGGAATTTTTGTAGTAAAAGTGCTGCAGACAAATTGGAAAGGTTAAATGAGCACGCGATCAGGTTTGTTTTCAGGGATAAGTACACAAGCTACTCGGAACTTCTCAACGCATTAGGCCTCTCATCTTTAAAACAACAAAGATGAATTAAAATCACACTGTCTATTTTCAATGCCGTCCACAATCCTTTAGCGCCCAAAAGTATACAAGACCTGATAGTTCATAGTAAGAACGTTAGCTACAATTTAAGAGGTGAGTATATCCTCTCGCTACCCAAGCCAAAGTCTACTACATATGGCTTGAACTCAGTCTGTTATATTGGTCCGAAACTCTGGAATTCAATTCCAAACATGTTTAGAAATATAACGAATTTTAAGTCTTTTAAGAGATCCATTAGCCAAGTTGATCTAGTGCAATTTTTATAATTTCAATGCTTTTTTATTGAATTTAGTATTTATTTAGATATAAGATATACTTATTAAGATTTTATTGTTATAATTTTGATTATAGAATATTCCATATCTAGTTTTTTAACTCTTAATTTTATTGTGTTTGTGGAATACCTGTAAATTAGCTGGCGTGCTTTCACAGACCCCGATTTCGGTTCCGTCTGTGAAAGCACTCCATTATTGTAGCTAAGTGTATTTTCACAATAAACTCTTATTGTATTGTATTATTGTATTGTATTGTATTGTATTGTATTGTATGCAGAATCCCAACCACTAGATTTCTTTGGATTGATGTTTTCAAGTGTCCGTTGCACTTCATTTGGCCTGAGTAATTTAAAATCAAAATAGTTTTCTTCGTAGGCCTCTTGTATGCTCTTTACACTGTCATGCTCGCTATGATCTTCCTCAGTCAGATGGCTGACGTGATCTCCTCCAATATTTAATGCTTCGTTGATAAAGTAGCTGGCCAACGTTTCTGCCACTTCACTTTGATTCTTTTTGATGTTGTTTTCCTTAGTTTTTAGATGTATTGTTTTAGATGTTATCAATGAAAGGTTTGAAAGTATCATAAAACTTTTCTGGACTGTCTTTATGTTTTTCCATGATTTTGTACCAATATGTTCTGATCCCTTTTCAACGCTCCCGCGTGGCTAGATTTTGGTACTTCCTCTTGAGTTCTAAGTTCTCGACCGTACGATCTTTTGCAAGCATTTTAGCAAACTTTCTTTTCATTCTCAAATTATTTTTCCATTCCCGAATCATATAAGGGATGTCCTGTTCACTCACCCTCTTTCTTTTGACTGGTGCATGTGTGTTGATGATACTCTCAAATAGTCCTCTCCAGTATTCATGCGTGTCATCTGTGTAAGTGAAAATATCACTGACATGCCAAGGCGCATTACTTAGTTCTTGATTAAGTAACTCAAAGAGGGCTTACACTTGCATGCTTTCTCCTTCATTTTCCCATATATCATATAGAGGTCGCTTATTTCTGGGTTATAAACCCTGCACCTATTAAACAGCTTTGGGGAATTTGTGAGTAACACGTCCAAAAGCGTGCAAGAATGCATCGTGACTCTGCTGGGCTTTGTAATCAGACAGGACAAGTTATATACCTCCTCTAAATCTCTTAGCATTTTTTCCTCACCCTGGCCAGGCTTAAGCCTGTCCATATTCAAATCTCCTAATATAACTATACCCTGCTTCTGGAGACATGACCACTGGAAAAGGTCATTCATTTCCTCCTCTACATTCTGCAAGTATTTCGATCTGTTGTTCCCTTTTGACTGTTTGGGTGGCCTGTAGAGCGCTAACACAATATTTCTTTCCTCCCTATCGTACATTAAAGCGCGATAGCTTCCAGCTTCCTTTTGGTCTTGGGCAATTTCAATCTCTTTGACGGAATGGATGTAGAGAAATAAGCAATGAGCTTCACCTCCCCCTTTGGTTCTATCTCTGTGATACATACTGTATCCTTTTAGTCTGAACTGGTCGTCAGGATAAGAACGGTTGATTTTGGTTTTGGACACAATTAGTATTTGTGCCTTCCCTTCAAAGGGTCATTCAGGAGTTTTAGTTTCTCAAATTTATTTTGTATGCTGTTAATATTCAAGTGTGCCACAAAAGCATTGTGCAAAATGGTCTTCCCCAATCGAGCTCTCCTGGTGGTTCAGAGGGACGTCATTACCATATAACTCATTTGCAAATAATGTTGTTACCTTCCATCGATGAAATAACTGACAGTGAGTTCATTTGCGTGTTTAAGTCTTCAAACAAAAGGCTCCCTTTCGTAAATGGAAGGTTACACGATGAACATGTCCAATCCATGTCAGGAAAAGCTACAATAGGAGATGCTTAAAGGTTTCCTCAACCTCATACCCAGGGTTCTCTCCTACCCCTCCCTATGGAGCGAGAGAGAACCTGGGAACGAGGTTGAGGTTTCCTTTGTAAGGCCGACACATGTGGTGTGTGTCCATGTGGTACAAGCTTTGCACAAAAGTGCATCTTGATTCGAGTGAACATTTTTGCAACATTCCTTACAAGGATAATTTGGCAATTTCTTGGTATTCTTTGGTCCAGGATTTGTTTGAACATCTCCTCCCAGAATAATATATTAAAGCTGAAAGGTACTTGTACCGTTTGTAGTGTAGTATGCCCTTGACGTTAAAAATACATTTTCATGACCGCGGCACCTTTGAGTGATTTATTTGGGAATTACAGCAACTTGTGTAGTAAAACTGTAGCCCATAGGATCTAGTTGTATCTTCCTCATAGCAGTAGACAGTTGATGCAAAAACAAGCAGAAATTAAAAACAAGTGAGAGTCGGAGTGCCATTAATTTGCATCTGTTCGCCTTGACATCTCATGCTTGTTATTGTAATTAAGTAGTTTTCGTTTAGATTATAGAACTTAGTATTTTCATTTTATAGTATTTGTCAATAACTGTTATCTACCAGTCATTTGCTTCCTTTTAAATCTGATGGAATCACCATGTCAAAATAAAGTTTGATTGATTGATTGATTGATTGAACCAAGGCAAAAAAGTGCTAATGTCCAGGGTGGGGGGGGGGGGGGGGGGGTAAAACAAAAAACAACATTTATTCTACACACATAAAAAAAAAAAAAAAAAATAAAGAAAAGAGAGAAGGAGTGGGGGGGGGGGGGGGGGCGCAAAAAAAAAGATGAGAAAAAAAAAAGGGACGGAAAAAAAAAAAAGAAAAAATTTTATATTGTTAGTGACGCGGCGTGTTTTTGTGGGGGAAAGGAGAGGGGGGGGGGGGGGGGGGGGGGGGGGGGGGGGGGGGAGAGGAGTGGGTGGCATGGGTGCAGCTGAAATTGACTGATGCATAAATGAGCAAAAATCTGCATCAGATTTCACTTTTATGCTTAATTAACTTAAACGAATCTGGGTGAAACTTATGTGATGAGCTAAGAAACATCGTATAGCTCACAGACTCCCGTGGTGAGCTGGGGCTACCTCTGTTTACAGTTAGCTAGCCTTGTTATGTTGCCCCTTCAAATTATAATTAGAGATCGAGCAGTGGAGACTATAAAGGCCACTTTTTTGGGAATGACAGTGTGTGGATCTAGCTGGAAATATAATGGACTGTTTGTTCGAGATAGAGCGATTTTTGCATGACCTTGATATGACAACCCACAAACAAAACAGAAATGACAAATGAACAGAAATAGAGTGATTTGATTGGTTTATCAAACAGATGCAAATGCGTGTGGCTTTTGGTTGGTTAAGCCAATGCACCGGTTAAAAAAATTCATGCCCGGGAACTTTCTAGAAATCCCCCGATACTTCGCTTTGACCTCATACTGCAACAGGATTGGCCAATTGAACAATGTCTTCTCCATATTAGGGTTTTCTTTGGCGGGAAGAAAAAGAGGCCATGTTTTGTTTTTCAAGTTTAAACGAAAATCGCTCTAGCATCAACATGAATAGAACATCAGGAATTGACACTAGCCAAATTTTATAGCTTCACGTAGAGAACTTAATTTTCGACATGGGCCAGATAGCAGCTGCTCTGCAAAACTCATAGCCAGCGGACTGAATTGTTCTGGACAAATTATTTCTTTGCGACATTTTGACAAGGTTTGAGATGAGATAAAGCTATATAAAATTCTTAATTTACCTTGACAATAAAAAACAAAAAGCAATTCCACAGTAATCTCTCTCCCAGAGCTGTCATTAAGAGGCAGCGGTCAGGGATTTCCTCCAGCTACTATGAACATGGCCCCCGGCTACTTTCAAAGGATTTCTACTTGTTGTATTTACCCGGCACCTTGAAATCTTAGTGACAACCCTGCTCTCCTCTCCCCTCCCCTTCCTATGTTTTTGGCTCTCACTCCAACTTTCGCTCTATGACTCAATTGGAAATGTTTGCTACTCAGGCTATTTCCTGGAAATGCAGGGAGTCATTAGGTATTACACTAGAGCTATGCATTTCCAGCAAAATTGAAATGTCAAGGAAGCATTTAATTTCAGGAGAGGGGGCATTTGTTGGTCATTTACAGTGGTGCACAGATGCTTACTGCTGCCATGGAAATTTTGGTATTAATTGCCCACACACAAACACACACACACACACACATATATTCCAAGCCGGAGTTGGAAGCTTCCAAGAGGATATCCTGATATATCAACTTTTACTAAGAAAGAGAATTAGTTTCAGGCAATTTCTAAGCAGTGATATGTGTGGTTCCACATTCTTGCTTAAAGTTATTCACATATGCTCTGAATAGCACTGTGAAAGATCAGCCATGAGTCAAGCTTTAGCTTACAAGATGTTAAGATGGAAAATTATGAAACTGTTTGCACGAAAAGTGGTCATGGTTGCCCACAAAAGGGGTTGCTTACAAGAGGTTCTAACTATGTGGGTTTGACTGGGAAAATTTTGGCATTTTGGATAGGTGGTGGCTTATGAGAGGGACAATGTAGTCGCACATGGAGGTTTGACTGTATCTTTCTTTTTATTTTGTAACAGCAACAGGAAAGGCTTTCCATGTTCCAAGGCTTACTAAGTATGCCCATCGTCTCTTCCCAAACCAAGCGTGTTCACTCTTTGATGGTGAGGGTATTGAATTACATATCCTACGGAGAATGGATGAATCATTAGGCAGTGAACCATGGATTTTAGGCTTCAAAAAAGTCCTGAAAGATCAGTTTCGCATTTCAGGCATTGAGGCTAAACTATCGGGATTCATTGACTGTGATCTTTTGAGTAGAATGCCTGATGACAAGCAAGATGCACTGTATATTTATAATGCACTATCAGAGGTGACTCGCAGGTGTGGACACACTTATGTCCTCCTTGGTGAGCTGAAACAACCAAAGTATTATGACAAGCCATACGCCCGACAATCACACCATGTTAAACAGTGGGAGAGGGCACTTGCTTATTTGAAGGAAATTCAAGTTATTGGAACTGAAGGTGACATCTATGATGACAGGTGCCATGTGTTTCTGACACATTTACGAGATTACGAGAAAAAAATTGCCTCCAGTCTTTCCAGGATGATCATGAAGCAAGAATCTTGGATTGGCCCTATTGATGTGAAAGAAGAGGTTAGTACTAACTCTACACTGTGTATTTACCAGTGGATTCCTGTGCCTTGTTAGATAAACATGTTTATTTCTTGCCTGTATTACAAACTTATTATTGGCTTATTTGAAGTTAAAGCAGTTCATGTTCAATTCTAGGAGATCTGAGCAATTTAAAATGTCAAAATTTGACTTTTCTTTTAAATTGTTGTGAAAAAGCTGTTGATCAGATCACGCCAGTATATAATACCAGATAAGCAGTCTGTGATTGAAACTTTAAGTATCATACCTACCATTTTTGAGTAATTTTCAGTACATTGTTCAAACTTCCTGTAAGCGACCACCTAAAAAAAAAAAAGATTTAGTGGACGCTTACGGGAAGTGGTTGCTTAAGAGAATTGATCCACGGGGGGTCTCTTCCTAGGAAAGGTTTGAACACATCTACATTTTGAAAGAGATTCACAGCATGCAGCTTCAATGATTATGTGTAGGCTCATGTCGTCAATGAAATATTGTTCTTTGAATAGACCCTTACATGGTTCTTTTCAAGTTTTGATAAAACCAGTTAGTGAATATCCACTGACACTGCTGTAAAGAGCCGCCTTAAAATTAGGAAACTTGCCAACATGGTGGGTACATTTAAAGAGAGCAAAGATATTGCTTCACAAGGTCATGAAATTTTGCAAGCATTCGTATGGTGTGGGCACGATTTTGCCCCCCACCTTACAAACATCTTTAAAAACTTAGCCACTTAATGAGGCTCTATTTTCATTAGTTTTCAATGAAGCGCATTCAAACTTGACATCTTCACTAATTTTAAGGCATTCCTGAGTTGACAATTTTTTGCTAACTGGTCCCAGTCAATAGTTGAAAAAACCGTGGAAGAGTCTTTTCTCTGATAATAGTGTAGTACATTCAGTGAACATAGAGGTCGATCAAACCTTACGTTCAGTGGTCACCTACAAGAGGTTAAAAACGATGGAAAATTCTAAAACTGTTGGGTTATCCAAAAAAGTTGTTGTAGTAGCTCATGAGAGGTGGTATTTTACGAAAGGTTCTGACGGTAGTGATTTGACTGGAAAGATTATATTTTGAATTGGGGGTGGTTTATGGGAGGTGGCCGCTTACTAGAGGTGGTTGCACATGGAGGTTCTACTTTATGATTTTTTTCAGTGGCTCTTGTAAACTGCTATCGCTGGCCAATGTCTTGGTAGTGACAGGTGTTGTTTCGATTGGTTTTGTCTTGCCAGCCTTAAGGATTTTTTCTGCACCATTCAGTTCTGCTAAGGTGTGTAGCAGGAGTGTCTTCTGTCCAAGGGTAAGGTCCAACGTAGCAATGTGGTCGGAGTGGACTACCTTCAAGGCTTCTTGGGAGTCCAGATCGCTTTTCCCTAGTTTGTCAATCGTCTTCTGCTTCAGCCCATGGTTGTTGCACCTCGTTTTAAAATCAAAGCTCGTCATAATAAAAAAAAAATTGAATTGCTACTGTATGTGTGCTAACAGTGTAGAAAGTCCGCTGATTGCATAGAGAATGATACAATTATGCCGAAAGTTTGCTTGTACAGGGCGGGCAAAGCGTGGAATTTCCGCTGCAGTATTTAATTGTGATAAACAAGTCTATCACTCACGTAAGCACATATCGACATTCTAGTTCAAGCAGTGTATAAGTTGTTTGCCACGTGAATCTAGTTTAGTGGCCTTAGCTTGCGGGAGTCTACTGTAGTTCAGTAGTAGAGCATCTGGACCAGTAACCAGAAGGTCATGGGTTCAACTCCCATTGAGAATATTCAGAGTTTTTTGTTCTTCCAAGCTGCCTGTGTCACTGACTGAAAAGTTGTTTTTTTTCTATAACAGTGTTATCAATGATTAGGATGGAAAACCCACCAACCATGAATAGAGTTCACAATTATCTACAATCACTTGCTGGGAGGGTTTAGTTTGCATGTGTGCCTAAATTCCTGGTGCCAGTTGTTCAAAAGGTGGATAACGCTATCCACTGGATAAATCTCTATCCAGTGGATAGCGCAATAATTTTCCCTAATACTTAATCACAGGAGAGTGATTTATCCATTGGATATTGCTATCCAATGTTTGAACAAATGGGAACTATAGTTTGAACGTTATTGCTGGTCCTAGAACCTTCAGTTGAAACAACACCTGCTCTTGGAAATTAAACCCAGCATGGTCCTACACAGCAAATCAGCCTTGCAAACACAATACTGTGGAATCTCTTGGAACCAAGACAAGTGTCCCCTGAATAGAGGTTGGGCTGGGATTGCTAATAACCAACAAATATAATAGTTTTCTTGTACTCTTCCTTGGAAGCTGCTGTGGTCATTATTTCAGGCAGCTAGATACATAACGTATAAAAATCATGAATAACTTATCTTTGCTATACAGTCAAACCTGTTTACTATGGTCACCCTTGGGAAATGACAAGGTGACCGCTATATACAGGTCAACTTTGCAGAAAATATAAGGCAACTCAATATTATGGGAAGTTGTCCGGTGACCGTAATATACAGGGTGACTGCTATATACAGGTTCAACTGTATTTTGTGTTGAATTCCCACAAGTGCAGTACATCAATTTAAGCGAGGTAGTTGTGAATGCTGTCATCATTAATGTTTATCCATGCTTTTTGTGGTCAGACACTTCAAGTGCTAAGGTGCCTCCTGAATGGAGGTTAAACAGAGGTTTTGTGATCCACAAATAGTGTCCTTTTTCCCCTAACTGGGGGTCTCCCTTGAATTGAGTTGTCCCAAAGTAGCCTTGACTCAGACATAATCAAACCCTAGTTAGTAACATAGGCGAAGCTGTGCGGAGAAAAATAATTTTAGCAAGAATGAAAAGAGCACATAAGAATTAGCGAATGTGTACATTTTTAGTTCGTATTTAAAACAAAGTGATTCTTTTTCATGTTTAAGGTGTTTCGTGGAGACATAGACCAGTTGAAAGCGGCAAAGCTTTTAACAACGAAACCAGTTGTGGTTATGTCAGGAAGAGGTGGTTGTGGCAAAACGTTTGTAGTCTCTTCCATTTTAAAGATGAAAGCAGGCTATCTTCCTGTAGATTCATCTGGTGAAGAACAGATCGATCCCGGTCTACTGCCCGAAAACACAGATGAGGAACCGGGAGCTGCCTTGCTGGAGTCGTTGGACCTTCAGAGTTCAACGGCTCCGAACTTGCAGAGCAGTCATCAAAGTCTGTCATCCAAATGTCAGCCCACAGACCCACAAGCCAGTCATGAGTCCTGCCCGGTGTCGACCTATGCCTCTAAAATTGAAGATGAAGTATTACTAACAGCTCCTACTGGAAAAGCAGCGGCTTTACTGCGCAGGCGAACAACGATCTCCGCGTACACATGTCATTCAGTGATTTTCAGCTTTTTCAGCTGGCTGAAGAGGAAAAAGAAAAAAGAAAAAGAAAAAAGCACTGGAGCTGAAAATGAAGAGACAGAGGCGTGGAAATTCTCCGAAGTACGTCTCCTAGTCTGCGATGAGTGTAGTTTGATTCCTGTGAGGTTGTTCGCTACTCTGATCGGCATTTTGAGTAGGAATTCCAAACTAAAGCAAGTGGTTCTCCTGGGAGACATCGCTCAACTTCCCTCCATTGAACCAGGGAATTTATTAAGTGATGTTTTTCATGCGCTTGATCCGCACGGTGCTAGTATAAAACTGAGAACCAACCACAGGACAGACTCAGCACACATTGTACAGAATGCAATCAACATTTCTCAACAACAGATGCCACGGTTTACTAATTCTGATGGTGGGTTTGTCTCCCTTGAATATCCAGCAAAGAACACTGGCGAAGACAGCAACACGATTGCGGAAAAAGTAAGAGCGTTGCTTAAAGAAACAGAATTACCTGAGCCAAAGAAGTCTCAATTTGTTGCATTTCGCAATAATGACTGTTCGCTCATTAACGAACTTTGCGCTGTCCATTACAACAACCACTCTATCAAAAACGATAAACGAAAGTTTGTTTTTCAGATTGGCGATAAGGTTTGCCTAAGGCGTAACACCGTATGCTTCGATGAAAATGAAAACAAGGAGATTAAGTTGAATAATGGCGAAATTTTCTTCATCAAAGACATCATTGAAGTACAGACCAACCAATCTAAGGAGACGTATTTTGTCCTTGATGACGAGGACAGAGCTATCAAAGTAAATCTGCGAGCACTGAAGAAACTGAGCCATGCATGGGCAAGAACCATTCACACGTTTCAGGTAAAAGTGTTTTTATTGTCTTTTTGTGGCACTTCATGATCGCCCTTAAACTATTCGCTCCTACAAATTTTGCTTAAAAGCGCGTTTTAAATCTATTCGAGCTGTTTTCTGATCACTGTCTGGCTTTAAAGGGCTAAAACTTAGCAAAAAGCCGCTTATGCAGGTCGGCACTTCCTGGCCTTCTTATCCAGATTCAAACTAATAGCTTTCTAGGAAGTTCGGGCGCGTACGCTTACAGAAAGCAAAATTTCGCTTGTTCTCCTCCACTCCTCTTTCCCTTTTCTTATCTCTCTCTCTATTTTTTTTTAACCTGTGGGAAATGTTTTCGTTACGACAACTCAAGTAACAAAGTATCAAGTGCACCACACATTTTGATACATTTCTTTACTGCAATGCATGACAACGACTTGAAGTTTCCCAGTGCGATGTTTACAGGAATTGAGGACGCAAACAAAAAACACACTTCGATAAATATTTCTTTCTCTTTCTGAGCTTTGACACTGTTTTTAAAAACTCAACTTCACGAGAATTCGCTAATATTTGACCAAATGAGCGAGTTGGAATAATCGTGAATTACTTAGTAAGGCCTAGTCTGCTACACAGCCGTTTTCAGTGTCGTCACGCAACGCTCCTAGTGGGGAGGAGCGTTGCGTGACGACACTAAAAACGGCTGTGTAGCAGACTAAGTAAGGCCCAGTTTATATATCGGATGAAAGGGTTACCCGCCTACCCGACCTACCCGACCTACCCTGGACGTGCCAACTTTTCATACATTTCCTTAGAAAATTCTACTCATATCACTGTTTACATGAGAAACAAAAGGTTGCCTCAAGCTAGACGGGGACCCGCCTAGCCGGGTCACCCTATTTTGACGGAAGGGTCACCCTCTTAGCTCGGCCAACTTTTCTCCATATAAACACTTTGGCTCGCCTAGCCGGGCCAACTCGGTCAAGGCGAGACAATCAAAGCATGGGCGAACGCTGTTATCTCGGGCTAGGCGGTCAGCGTTTTTTGTTCCGGGAAAGAGGGTCATCCTCCCAGCCGAGTCAACTTTAGCGAACTTTTGTGTGACAAAAAAGTTTACACCTTTGCCCGGTATGGTTTCTCGTTGTTTACGCCCCATTCTCTTCGCGGCTTAACCACTCATCTGCGCGCTCGACCAACAAAGCCTCCAGCTACGCAGGCTACTGACGATTTTGTGTTTTGCCTTTTCCAGGGCTCGGAAATTAACACACTGGTTTACGTGCTGGGAAATCCTTACTATCAGAACTGGCAGCATGTGTACACAGCCGTGACCCGTGGTGTCCAGAAAGTTTTGATTATTAACGACCCAACAAATTTGAAGAAGGCCATCAGAAGCCGTCCAACACCACGAAAGACGAATCTACAGGAAGACCTTAGCAAAGCCTTAAGAAACAGCTTCTCACAGCGCACCCATGTTCTACAATCAGTTGGTTGTAACAAAAGGAATCAGCGTCTTGACAGTCCTGATCATTTGGATGCGACGTTTTCCCATCATGGAATTTCCAGTGAATTGATGTCCCCCGAAACACTAGGGAAGAGTTCTTTTTACTTCTCAAGGAAACGCCTCCGTGAAAGATCCATGGAAAATAAAATGGACACTTCCTTTAGTTCAACGGTAGAATTGGTCAGTAAAGAGAACAGCGAACTGTCCACAATGCAGCCAGTTGCTTCCGCTGCTGCTTTTCACCACCAAAGAACCATGGCGAGTCCCCCGAAAAGAAAATTGTTAGAATGTTCAGTTCTTTTGTCTCCTCCAGGGACCCCGGAGACTCCGAAATCGTTAAAGAATCTTCATGAGTCTCTGTCCGCCGTCAGCCCATTTAAGAAGCCAAGCGAGAATCAAAATACTGCCGCTGCCTCAAACAGATTTAACGCAACACCATCAAAAAGGCGTGCTGTCTTAGCAAAACGTAGTGAAACGTGTGTCGTTTGTGACAGGAACATCAACAAGGGGGACAGAATAGTTGCTTTAGACGACTTGTCTGGAAAGTATGGCTATCGAACTAAGTGGGTCCACGAAGGTTGCGCCCGAAATTGAGGGAGTGAGCCTAAGACAGTCAGCCTTATTGAAGAACGTGTTTAGAAAAGCTCTTATCAGACGCCAGACTATGATATGTACCTTTTACGCATGGGTCAAACGTCGAACTTCAATGGGACAGACTGATTAATCTACTGCTAATGAGAAATAACAATTTTGCTCTTAATCATAACCATACAGGGTAAGTTGAAAATTTCAAAAAATTTCTTGCCTTGTTGCTGAAGTTTACCCGGGCCCGAAGCAATCATACAGGTCTGTCAACCTTCTTTTACACCAACAGCTTTTTTCTCTCCGCAAATTTTTGATTGTTCGTTTGTCGACGCGTCGCTCAAAATTTTCTAGTCTGATTGACTATCGGCAGACCTTAGTTCTGGCGGAATTGTACTCCACTCATTCCCTATTACCATTATTTAGCAATAGGTTCGTCGTGTGTGAAGGTCGACTTTCCGTTTGAGTTATTTCAATTATTTGCTCGGTCCACTAGCCATTGTGTTAGTGATGCTGCCGAGGCTAAAATACAAAAGCAATTTTAATTTTAAAATAATTTAATAATAATAACTCCAATGATAATTAAATATTTAAAATAACTGTGACAATTAAAATTGTTATGATATATATTTGGCAAGTTTAGGATTTTTTGCCTATAAATTCATCCTAAATTGCTACGTCCGGCTCATAAAAAGTGAGCCTTGAGCGTTTAGTCGGCATTTTTTTACATTTGAGGTTAGTAGTAGAATTTTTTATTTGATTCTGTATGTCAGATTTTTTGTTTTAACTGTCTCTGATGAAAACTGTTTGTAAAAACAAACTTTTTTAAACTACTTATTATCTTCCTTTTTCGTCTAAATGCCAGACGTAGCAGGAGTTTTTTAACATCGATACGTGGCTGGGGTGGCCTGCATGCCCTTTTTGATCCATTTTTAGACTCAGTTCAAATCGTTTTAGGTCACTCCAAATTCCCAGTGATTTTTGCGAGAAGTCCTTTTAAGTACACCTTTCTTTAAAGTAAAGTTTGTATGAAGTATTTTAATGCATTAGGTTAGGAGGCATGTTAGTAAATTTTATTTTTATTGCAGCTTTTTTCTGTGAAAAGCTTATTTCAATGTTAATGTACTCGTTTAGTTTTTATGTCAGTAATTTTAAATTTCTTTCTAGTAGCCAATGTGCACGTCGATCCTGTAAAAGGCCGTGATTGATTCCTGGAAGTGATCATGGTGATTTGTGTGATTACTAGTTCCTCACAGAAGTCGTTGAAATATCTTAGTAAATTGCTACTACTCTCTTAAAAAAAAAATAGCAAAAAAAAGTGAGAATGAAATGTCTTAAATTTTCAAACACTCTTCAAGACGTAATATGAAATTCAAGCGCTTTTCCAGGACTTGTTAAGATGTTTGAAATTCAAGAGTGTCTCAAGTCTGTACAAACTATGTTTGAAACTACAAAAATAGGCATTAAGGTACCTTGAGTGCCAGAGGTTGTTTCTTACCTAATTCTGATAGTTCGCGTGGAATGCTTTATTAAACCGTTTCATGTTAGGTATTTCTAGAACTAACCTCTGGAACCAGGGTAGTATTATTGATACTTCTTTGCATCTTTCATCCTCCTTTCCAATGATTATGTTTTAAAAAATAAACATATTGAATATTTATCAAATAAATGATCTTGCTGTTAGTTCTTTTAGTTTCAAACTTGTACGTATTCAATGTCTATTTTCGCATAAAAAAAGTTGCCCTGCAATCAGCTAGACCTCCGCACGACTCAGATGACAGCGTTCATAACTGGCGGTCCACGGTCTCCTGTAGAAGACGTAAGAATAGCTTATTCGATTAGTACTTTCGTGATAAATACATAAACACTCGAATAAAATGCGGGGTTTTTTGGTATTTGAAAAGAGAATAAAAATTCCTTTCTTATCGTGGCTTTCCTCTCTTGAGGTTGATTTCCACTGATGCGTGTTTGGCTACGCACGTAAATTTAAATCATGTAAATAAAATAGAGGCAAGAGAAAAAGTGCTGAGCTTAAACGAGAAGTTGAGGGAGGTTCAACTTTTACGCTTACAAGCGACCTGTCTTTCATTGCCTCTATTTTATTTGCGAACGTAAATTTTACACACGTAAAAATTACGCGACACCGAATATCAACCCTTAGTCAGTTCATTTATGGGCTGAATCACTCATCCATTTTGGTCGTATGGATACGACAGCACTGTTAGCTAACATCTTTGAGTGTATTTTAAAATGCGTTTTACAACTTCAACTATATTTGTACACTGTTTACAGGGGATATATATTTGCAGCCGCTCCAAAACATTTTTGCAAGCATTTACTGTAAAGATACGCAAAAGAAAGGACAATCTAAGGAGGTACGTGCACAGTGGCCAATCGAGTTGGACCATTGTCTGTTCAGTGCAGAATGAGAATCTCCGTTTTCTCTGTATTCCTTGTCGGTATTGCAGTCGACTCCCGATAATTCGAACCTTCAAGGGAAATAGAAAAAAGTTCGAGTTATCGAGGGTAAAATTATATTGAAAATGATCTGAAGGGAAGCTAAGGGAATTCAAAATTGCTTCGAGTTAGCGGGAGGTTCGAGTTACCGGGAGTCGACTGTATTGCTAGAAACACAATTTCGAGTCGATGTAATTGTAGCCCAACTATTGTTGCTCGCTCGACTAGCATTAGTGCTATAAATACTGCCGAGGGTAAATAACGGAAATTTATTTATTTTCATTTACACTTATTGAAATTGTAAGCACGGCCACGTTAGAAGTCTTTGAATATTTTGGAATTAAAAGCAACCCATTGCGGGAAAAGATCGAAAAAAAGACCTTGAATAGCAGTTTCAGGCGAGTAGCTGGGGTTTGAGAAGGGGTGTTCGTACTGATACGAATATTTCTTAACAGCGGGAAATACTGCGAGCACCAAAGGGGGGAGCCTCTAGGGGTTTCTTGGGGCAAATTGATCCCCAGAAGATTTTGAAATCTAGAAACCTGGAAATGCTATTTTCAGTAGTCTCCACGTGAATATTTCAAACTCGATCAAGACTGAAATAACAGCTATTTTTAGTAATAACAACAATATTTCCGTTTGACTTGGAACATTCATACATGGTGATACATACCGGCTAAGTACACGAAACGTTTTACAAAACTCGACGTGTGCTGCAAGGTATCTCGGAGCAAAAGCTTAAGCCCCCCAGTTCCCTGGCTCCGCTGTCTTTGTACTGAAAGCAGCGTCAAAGATAAATATGCATTAAACACGTATCACCTAGGTCCCCCAAAATCGTATTCCCCGCCTTTCGTCTTTCGAGGCACCATTTGCCAAATCCCGAACGCCTGTTAGGGAAATATCTTCAATGGTGGGATTATTTTGACTACATATAATGCTAGGTCACTAGTATATACTGGGGCCACAACATGGACTACTTAATTATCAACTTACAACAGGGCTATTCCTTTTTGTAAAGCAAACTTTGCAATTGCATCAGCTTCGGGTGGAGGCCTTCAAATAAATTGACAACTTCGTCCAGATGGATAGGCATATCGTACTTGATATGCATGATAGCCAGTGAGGAGAGCCTACCCTCGTCCATGGTACATCTCATGTAATTGTTTAGCCTTCTCATTGTGCTGATTGAACGCTCGTACTCGCACGATGAAAATTCTCCTTCATTGACCTGCAAAGGGGGTTCGTTCGAACCCCGCCTCCTACGCGCCTGAGTTTGGAAAGCTTCGCGGAGAAGTTGAAGTGGAAATAAGAGGTATTTCTGTGTAACGCATCAGCAAGGGGGTACCCAGCAAGCAGAGGTCTCTCTCTTGGATGCCTTTTCAAAAAGTGTTTACGAAGTCGACTTTGTAAACGCTAAGAACCATGGGGGGACAGGCACACCCGACTTGGAATATTAATGATCGAACGCAATCGCACTCTTCAAATTCTCAAAATTAGGCGTTTTCAGTTACAAGAACGACACCACGCAACATTTCAGGTTAAAGTAGAAGTTTATTGTCATAACATGTGCATGAATTATCTTATTGTTATTCACTTTTGTGGGTTTTAATTTTCGCGATTTTCCGCGCGAAATTAAAAGGCCCCCGAAAAAACGTGTTCCGCCAACGTCAACTAGCCACTCGTTTTCTCGACCCAGTCTTTTAGCGAGAACCGTCACGCAAACACAGACCGTAGTTGTGAACGAGAAGAACGCGGGTTGATCTTTGTTTCTGTTCAAAGAAATTGAACAGCCTGAGGTAATTGTAAATGAAATGAGTCATAGTCAGGGAGGATAAACATCATGGCAAACTTTAGAGGATTTTTCTTACCGAAAGGAGAAAATGCCAAAGACGATGGAGGGAGCTCTGAACCCGACAGTGAAAGCGACAATGACGATTTCGAAAATCCTGACTACAACGACATCATTCAGATCGCTACGGGAAAATATCAATCCCAGGACGGAACAAAAACTCGATGTGTGGGAGAAAGACTGCAAGAAGTAGACTACATCAACGGAAGCTTTGTTTTGAAGGGGGAGAAAGTGATCCGCGCTCGATTTGACAGCATGTTCTCCTTTCCATGGTGGATGGTCGAAATATTTGAAATCAAAACAAGTTCTAGAACGCAACGGACAGAAAAGATTCCTTCTTACAGTATTCGATGTGACGATGGTATTGATAAATCTCTGCTGTCGTTGTTCCTTACTCAGGGATGCTGTGTGAATCAACAGCATGTGACTGCATTTTGTGAATTCATCGAAAGCAGACAGTTGAAACCAACGTTTGTGGATCTTCTGTGCAACCTGGGGGAATTCAGGGGTAGCAGTGAATTGAACCATGAAATTGCGCGACAAATCAAAACAAGTTTAGCCTGCACACGTAAGTCTTACCATTTGCTAATCTACGAAAAGAAACCACTTTTAAACAGTTTGATCACATTAAAAACAAACTACTGGGTAATCCCACTTTCTTCTGACCTTGTGGAAAGATTGCGTGACATGTTACTGTTAACACAGG